AAAATTAAAACCTCTATTCAACACAGATTCGATAACACTTTACGTTCTTATTCATCACCAAGTTTTTAGTTTTCAGATAATACAATTTTCTGTAAAATAAATGAGCGTCAATGAAGGTACCAGATTAATTATTTAAATAAGTTGTAAAAAAATTGCCACCGAATACAATTACGCTTATAATAAATGATGCAATTTCTTGTGAATTTGCAGGTTAAAACATTTACGGATCGGAGAAAACTTTCTCGATGATTTTTAATAACAAAATTTAAATTATTATAAATGTGTCAATGTTAAGGATGATGATATTGTTATGCGTTTTTTGTTGCGTCAAAATCATTTTTCGATCGGATTTAATTTGTTTATAGTATTTTTTGCCCCCAATAAAATAAACGTTGGCTGTAATAAAAGCTGTGTTAAAATTCGACACGTTAATTTATTGCGTTTGTTCCGACATGTGTACTAATACTGTTCAGAAAGCGAATCACATTGGCTGTTTACTAGGCGAACACGACGGAAAACATGACAGATGAAATAAAATAAATAATATCATTATCAATAATATAGTAGCAGACAATAATTATTACTACTGCGAACCGCGGATAATCAAATTATTGTTCTCTCTTTCTCTCTGACGGTTGGTTTTTTTTTTTTTACAATACACTGAGCAAGGGGAGGTTGACATGTACAGTTCGGCAACGTTTTTATTAGATAAACCATACATTACATTGTGCCAATGTGCCCTCTCCAGTATTTTACCCCACCCCGTGGTGCTATTGTTGCTTTTTTGGCGGAAACTCTTTAATATCCTGTAACGCATAATGAAACGACACGCGAACAAAACTATATGACGTCATCGCTATTTTTCGTCTCCAGTACAAAAGCGAACGGGCCTTATCTGGATTGTAGTTGCCATTTCGCTCAACTCATACCCGAAACTATTCTATTAGTATCTATTTTTGGAAATTTCAGAGTGACACTTATGTAAGTGTATAATATGACCTTATGTTCATACGCCGCTATATCGTATCTAATTAAATAGAAACACCAGACACACGTTTTAGTCCAAAAACATTGACTCGGGCGAGTAGTTTTGAATTTAAGGCATCCAATTTTAGTACTCGTCGTCAAGTTCTTGGTCAAAGGAGAAACAAGACATTTTCTTCGGAATTCAAAAAGTTATAAATGCTACCTGCCAAAACCAAGACATATTTGGTAATTTTTAAGCAAAATGAGAACAATTATTTAAAAAAAAAAAATGTTTTGAGAGAAGGGATTTCTTAAAATGTTTACTTTTTAATTATAGGTATGCTTTCATGTCATACGTCAATAGTTACAATTGCTTTTTTGAACATCTTTCATCAACTGTTCAGTATTTTCAAATTGTCGAACTGAATGTCCGCTGTTTTCTGCATGTTCGGCTACTACAGATTTTTTTTTTTTTGTAGTGGATATCCCTTTCGTGTTCGTTTATTCGGGTCTCTGTTGATCTTCCAGTTTGTCCAATGTATAACTTGCCACACGTGCATGGTATGTTATGTGTACCCGAATAGACAAATCCACAGTAGGTAAAAATCCTAAATAAAGATGCTAACTTCGTAAAAAGCATGTTCGAGAAAGCAATAGTAGTTTAGAAATGTCAATAGAGAAGATTGTTGGAAAATTAATAATACATAATTACCAGTTTTAATAGATTTGTATTTCATACTTAGTAAATTTTTTTTTATTCGTAAATTAACATACATAAATAAGTTAATTTTATTTTAAAAAAAATATCAATATTATGTACACTTTCCCCTTGGGCAGTTGGCCATGTTTACTTACGTTCGCCGGGCAGCTGCTCAAAAGTCACGGTACACAGTCGAGCCCTAAGCGAGTTAATTAGTAAATTGACTGTTTGCCGAAATTTAGTTGGTGCGCCGCTAAAAAAAAAAAAAAAAATTATTAACGGCTGGATCTCGCCCAGACAACAGAGTATAATATATTATTTGCTAGGCAGCTTATGAATCACAAATTCAAGTTGCTCGTTCAACAGACAACGCGTTGGCAGAATAATAAAATTAAACCGCTTGCTCGGGTAAAGCGTTGTAAATAATTTTGTTTTTTCTCGTGTTTGCCAAAGTTCCTATGGCCACAGAAGTTTTTCGTTCTGCTCTCGGCGCTGTTAGTAGTTTTCATTTTGGTATCGCGCTGGGCGTATGTAACTTTTGGCTTTTGACAACCGAAATCAAATTACGATTGATCTACCGGCAGCCGAGTTAAATATATACAACATATACTGTACAGCAAACTGCTGGTGTGCTGACGGACGGCGAAGGAAAACAAACAAACGCACGTCCAAAACAAAAATGTCGAAAACTATAAATTGACAGTTACAAAACAACTAAGCGTAAGGTCGCGTTAACTTGTTACTATGTTTTATGCTAATGTTTACAATATCCCAAAACAAAATGTCAGGGAGTTTATTAAACATTCGTTTTAATGCAGTATCCAAGTACAATCCAAGTCCTAAGACCTTAACAATATTGTTGGCATTTTATTGATAAATGCGTTCACAGTTTGTAAATATTGTTGTAACGTAATATCATAATACTATTATCATTAGTATACAAAGTAAAGCGTATTTGTGATGAAAAACTATACAATCAATAAGCCTATGTAAATAACTTAATGTATTGTACTCTTGATGGTTTGCGCGTTTTTAATTTGTTCAACGTTGATTGATTATGGTATATCTTTACATTTTATCTGAGCCTCGTATTATTGTCTCTTCGAGACTTGAATTGCTAAGCTTTTCGATGAATAGTCGTTTGCTCTTTTATCGCAAAATAGATTTAGAACAAGGTGACCATTAAAACCAATTCAGTCGACGTAAGACTTATGATTAATGCGATGTTTTAATCGTCGTTTTCATAAGGTTCGAAAAGGAACAATAAAAAAAATGATCATTAGTATTTTTAAATTGATAACATTGCACTGCGAATCTGCGGCTTTCGCAAAAATCATTACTTTATCGACAAAGAAAAATCTACATTGTAATACTGTCAATTTCGTTGATCAAATTGTTTTTGTCGCTTCGTCTTTTAGCCCTGGGAAAAAAAAAAGAATGGCTTTGCACATCAACGATACCCTCTGGCCGTAACTGTAAGCCCCGTGACCACAACCGCGTTAATGAAACGTGACCAAATGACATAATAGCAACGAAACGACCACATCCATTATTTGTCATCATTATTGTTGTTCTCGGTAAACGATGTTAAGGCCTGTCTGCGTGGATTGTTCACAGATATTGCTCTAAAATGTATTTCACGGATCAACGGTAATAATCGCAATTGAGCCTTGTCGTCCCATTGTCCCATAAATGAATTACAATTGATTCGGTAATTTCAGCGACCTTTTTACGTCTTACCGCATCTTGTTTCTACATTGATTCGCTAGGTAAAAAAAATCCCCATAACACAATAGGAGCAAACCTGATTTGTTGGTTGTTAACGAATTTTAATTGTCGCCATTAAATAGTAGCATCTAAATCTATTTAATGACATTCGTACGTATTGGGAGTACCTACTTAATGTCACTAACAAGTAACAACTATAATGTTACAAATCTTCAAAGCAGTAAATGTCAAACGAAGATAGTATAAAAATAGAAAAAGTTTTTTTTAGAAAACAGTTTGCTTCTATATTTTATATAAGTAAATATTTTCCTAGATATCAAAGTTTGACAATAAAGTATCTATCAGTAAAATTTAAGAACTCATATCATTTTCATTTTCAACTTCCTGTTAAGTTAATTGTATACAATTTACTTATGGCCATTTAGATTATCATCACCTTAGTTGTAGTTAAGCTATTATTTAAAAATAAGGCGGGGAAATTAATTTAACTTATAAATATAGATTTGTGTATTTAGTGTGTAGTATCTAGGTTACTTAGTATCCTGGTTGCTTAGGTTATTTTTATTCAAGACTATAATAAAAATAAATCTAGATGTTTTTAATTAATTTATTAATATATGGCTTAGTATGATATGGTTTAGTATGTTTATATAAATGGTTTGGTGTTTAAAAAGTAATATTACTTTAATCTTATTTTATCGCATCACATTCCATCATACAAATTACAGTTTTTTTTCAGTTGTCAAAAATTATTATTACAATACGAATTCACTTTTTATTGTGATTTAGGCTGCTGTTTATACAGCAATTTTAACACAATTAGGCAATTATCAAGATAACTCTTTTGGTGTCTAACGCTTATTTTATGTTACACTGTTTATTTCACTTGATGTTAATTTTTATGTTATAAAAAATCGCCATAGTATTTTTTATTAAGTTTTGTTTATGCTTAAATAAAAGGCTCAAGTGATAATTTAAAAAAACTTGTATTTTAACAAGTTTTGTATTCAATTATACTTAGTAGCATAAATATTACCAATTCAAGTGTTAGTTTGGATGTGAATAAGTCACTGCAAATAAATGGATAATATTTACAAATTAACTAAAACAGTCAAATACAATATTATGATCAAACAAGCTTCTAAATTATATTGTTAATAAATAAAATACTACGGCAATCATTGTGCACTTACACTCACAATGCCTGACATTCGGTATTTTTACTTATTTCTTGCTCTAACTGTTAAGTAAGCAGCGAACACTCGCTTTTTAAAACTGACCAATATCTAGACATTTTTTTTAATTTCTGGTTCTTGTTTAACACATATCTAGACTAATACTAACTACACTTATCGATACCAATCGGCACTAAGATATAGTGCCCTTGCTCCACGCCGTGACTGGCGCAGCCGGGTACAGTACTCCGCAATTACTGTTGAATCAACTCTTTAACACGGCACCCGAGTTAGGCAATTTCGGTGCATGTGCGAATAAGTGTTTAATTATCAGCTGTTGACGTTTGTATACCCCGTTCGTAGTCGGTTTAAGTTCTCTGTGTTCGAACGATTGCCAATAAATAATAGTTTGTGTGTTGTTTTCGTTTCAGTGAATTACGACAGTTCGGAGAAACTAACGTTGAAGCCTGTGGTGGTGTTCATTCATGGCGAGTCGTACGAATGGAATTCCGGCAATCCATACGACGGCACCGTCTTGGCCAGCTACGGTGGTCTAGTGATAGTCACGATTAATTACAGACTGGGAATATTAGGTGAGTAACATATAATTATTTGATTTCCCTAAAACATACCATCCCTATTTAGATCAGCTAGTTGCAATCGGTACTTCCCCGATATTTAATCACACAAATGCATTGCGCTGCCGATGAAACTCAAGCACAAAAGTAACCCAAGTTGAAAACATCATATTTTGTGCAATGAAAAACACAACAAATATTATTGGTTCACAAAAAAAAATGATAAAAATTTTAAGGACAATAATATTTTTCAACCTTCAAGTACTATAACCTATACTAAAATAAATGTAATGGATAAAATTATCTATAACTTGTTAAATATATATATATATCTTTATAATATATAAATTTCTTCTGTCCGTGTGTAAGTATGCAAACTCCTCCTAAACGGCTGGACAGATATTTATGAAATTTTGTGTGCGCGATTGAGTTGATTCGAGAAAGGTTTAGATTCACAATTTGATCCGATAGAACAGGTTTTTAATTTTTAATTAACTAAAATGATTAATTATGATTATCAATAGTATCATTGGTTTTCAATACAAAAATATTGAATTTTATTTTCTGGATTTCGAAAGTCGGTTTAGATTCGAAAATGTTTAAAACACCTATAATGAGTCCTAATCGATTTAAATTAGACAAAAAAAACTAGAAATATTTGAACGATTTAAACACTTGTATTATTCAGCAAACTTAAGTAAGATAAGCTCTAATAATAAACATACCTTTGTTCAGTATTGTATTTTGCAGGGTTAAAAAAAAATGTAAATTAACATAAAGAGGTGTTATGGATTTCAGTCATTTAAAATTGTTAGAATTGATTTTTTAATGCGTTCGTATATTTTCTTCCGGTAGGTATTAATTATTACCTAGCAGTCAATTTTTCGTAATAGTTAAATTTATAAGTTTAAAAAGTATAAATTTGTTTAAGTAAATATTATGTAACGGGAAAAATATGTTGTACGGTACCTTTTTCAATTTAAATATACACAAACATGAATCTCATTATTACACTGGATTATAGGTACTTTCAGAGCGACACAAATTGTAGATTTACTGTACAAGTTTTAGGTTAAACCCGCCTCGTTATTTTATTATTTTGTAATATGAAGAAAGGCACGTTAAAATAAAAACATTTTTAAAGTGTCCAACATTCTCTTTCCACAGTGATATCTCGTTGCGAGTCACGTCATAGGTCGTAATTTGTGTTCGTTTTTCCCATATTTTTGACACTCTTGGCACCTTATAAGTAATTACAGTGACGTTTATTAATAATTCATAATACCCACACCTTTAAAACCGTCGCTGTACACAATTTTTTTTTTTTATATCCTTTGCCATCGTCTCACCGCGATCATCAGTGATTGATTATTGTGTTCGACAGAAGAACGGGTAAACGAAATATGACCCGGGCATATATCCATACTGGTATAATTTTTTTTAAGATAAATTAAATGCGATCAAAAATTGTCAGTTGTCAGTGACATTCGGAAAAACGATTTACTACGTGCAAGCTTTTAAAAAGCATAAATAAAAATCGCATTTTTAAAATGTTAACATTGCTAAGGTAATGTTCAGTAAGGTTTACTAAGGTTACTAAGGTTTATCCAGTATGAATATTAAAAATATATTATAATTTATAATATCGAGTTAAGTACTGTTTTTTTTAACAAGAATACAGTATAAAATATAAACTAACACATAAGACTATTATTATGTATCATTAACGATTATATTTTTACCTTTAACTCATGTTCATTCGCAGTACAGTTCAATAAATTAATGTAAATAATAGGTTTTTAATACCTATTATAAGTGTCAAACGAAAAACTTTAATGCGGCATCTGTGCTTGTCTGATCGTCAACAATTTGCATTTTTAAGGTTATCTTAAATTCTTTCGTATTTTAAGTATAATATATTATCTAAAAATGGCCGAAATTAGTTTAAATATGTATATTATAAACGTTTTACCGTGTGAATTTGGAATCAACTTCCGAGTTCTTGTTTTAAATTGTTACTAAATGTAAAATAAAAATTCTTTTAGTTGATATTTTAACATATAAAATCGAGTTTTCACAGAAGATTCAATATTTAAGACTAGAAACAAACGAAAATCACACATCATTGTAAGACACCTTCTCAGCATCTGCATTAAAGTTAAAAATAATATTAAAGAAAATGTTGTACAAATATTATTAAAATATAGAAAATGTCATCATATTAGCTATAAATATATTTTCATCATTTTCAAACAACATTGTGTAAATAATATTTTTGCAATCTTTATTTTTGTTTATCTCCTGTCAAACATGATTTTAAAATATCTAAAATTTTTCCGTCTGGATACACATTACAACCGTTTTATTTGTTGAGGCTAAAACAAAGAATGTAATAAGGTATACATAAATACTTAGATTCCTTTGGATTTTTTTTATTATGTAGATGAAAATTGCAATTCTTCACATAAGTTCCTCAAAGAAAAGTTCTTTCTGTACTGAGCCCTCCCTTAACATCTGTATGTATATTGTAATCGATTAAATAGTTTTGCTATAGAATTAGTATTGTTGAAAATGTCTTTGATAAAAACAGAATTGATAAAAAACCAAATTTAAATAACGGGTTTGGGTTTTTTAGTGGGTTTTGAGAAATGTAACTAATGTGTTTGTTCATATAATTCCAGTTCTTCGTATTTGATTAAAACCCAATAACATTACCGTGTATTTTAGATTCGTTCCTTACAATTCGGTTGCATCGCCTATAGAGATACTAAAGTGACTGTTTAAGTAAAATAATCAGCATATCGAAAATTACCATTATGCTGCTTGTTATTTAATAATAGTTACAAAAATATGATTTTCATAATACACGTGTACTTTTCATAGGAGTTGATTTTAACGAAATATTTTTATTTTAAGCTTAACCATAAGCCACGATTTTGAAGTGTTTAAGCAAATATTATAATACTCGTTTTAAACGGTTATTTACCGTCAGATATTTTAACAAGAACATTTAAGTGTAAATTTGCACGTACGACGTTTAACATTGAAAATCAATCTTATGCCCGTTAGAGATTGACGGCTCGCCTTCTGCCCATGTTGTGTGTATTTATGCTTTATTTTTCTACAACCGCCTTTTAAAAGATAGACAGAGTAATTGATGGGTTTTATCCACAGACAAAAACCATTAAAATGGATTGTATTTTAAAACTCGCCTGGAAAGTTGAGAGTAACGCTTAAATTTAGAGTGTAGCTTACTTTTTTCTCTAAATAATCTACTTTGCTCCATGTTATGATCAACAGACCGGAAAATTTAATACCGCCGAAATTCTTTGTACCGTCGAAACTACATGTTAGTTAAACTTGAATGTTATTTGAATTTACCGAAACGGTTATCGACCACTCTTCCGCTTTTATACACGGCGAATGCCCCAGCATACCGTAAACTGATATACGGCCGCCATTACTCGAATAAAAGAAAATACTTTTCGATTTATAGGCTAAACATATGTAGGTATGTAGGTACAAGTCATAATATTAAAATATACATTTAAAAAATACAGCGTCGTTTTAAATAACACGGGGAGTTGTTATTGAAACTTTTGCGTTGTTAATATTAAATTTCCTGCAAACATATGATTTAAAAACATTTTTGCATTATTAAAAGAAATGTTTTTGGTATTTAGGCCACTATAATATAATAACGTTACACTTGTTTACCTGTTTAAGTAATTTAGAAAACATCTACACGATCCGAAAAGAACGAGTATACCCTCATAATAATGTATATTACATGCATTTGTTAGATAAATATTGTTTGAAACTAAACAAGCAAGAAAAGTGTTTATTATTATTATTTAAGTTCAACGAGGAGAAAGTAATTTTTTTATATTGCGTAAATAGATACGAAATTACTTTTCCCAGACTTGAATTGTTAATAACGTTTTCACGGCGTTTCTAACTTTTTCGAGAAAAAATATTATCATTTTTCATTTTGTTCGTATGACGTTTAGGAGTAATAAAATTGTCTCGAGTTTTCCAAAGAAAATATAACTATATATTATATATTTTACAAAGTTGGTGAGTATATCGTCAAGTAAAGCCCGTTTTACTGTCATAAATCCGTTTTTATCGTAGGCAATGATGATCATAATAACAGTAACACTTACGTATGTGGCCATCAACATTATCGGTACTTGGGCGTTTGTAAATAGGTAAATCGCATGACCTAGATACCAATATCTAAATTGCACGATCTTACACGGTCGATGTTCGTATGGCGACGACAACACCGGTACCGATACACATAAATTACACAGATTTTATATTTGTGTCCTTCGTAGACGACCGTTTGTGTTTCTATACATAAAACCAAATATATTCAGCTTTCAATTTATCCTCAACCCCTCTTCTTATGACATACAACATATCACAGAAACCTCACATGCCCTTCGGTTTTTTGTCTTATTTCTTCTGCGATCACAAATACAATATTACACACGCCAACGGTATTATGTACACGCACGCCAACTCCACCAGAGAATGCGTGACACTGCACAAAACTTTTCAGAATATGAGTTTAACAGCCAAAGTGGATTGATTTGTAAAAAAACACACGCGCGTTTAAAATTAAAATAAATATAAACATGATGCAATCAGTATTAACGATTTAACTAGGTAAATAAAGTCCAATTCGATTTAAAGCCCTTCAAATCTGTTTCACGAGTAAAGCTGCTTCCTTTGTGTTTGCTGAACACTTATTTAAATATTTGATATTATTCTTTGTATAAATACGAATTCTCGGACCCGGACTAAAAGGGCTCCAGTCTACTATTCTAAGTCAGCGTGTGTGCCAAAATGTGTACATTAGGATTGAGCTACACAGTCCGGGCAGAATCCGGATTTAAGAAGTTTAAAAATTCTATAAAATATTATACTGAAAACTGAATTTTTAAAAAAATTACCTTTTAAAATCATAATTAGATACCTATACAAACTTATCCCTTCGGTCTCTCGGT